ACGATGGAAATTCTTTTGGTGATGATTCCAGGGAGTTCAGATCCTTTAGAACGGAGTGTGAGTGTATGCTGTGGTATGGATTACGAGGAAGGAAGGAAAACCAATAAAGTCTCGAACATTCAGGAACAAGTTATCTAAAGACAGCGAAGACCATTCATCCCTTTTCTCTTTTACATTAGATATAACAGATAACCCACAAAGCGCGAAGTATAGGGAAGAGAAATCGCTCCACCTTTCAAGAAGACATCGACTTTGTCACCCTTGTTTAGGTCCAGAAGGATTGATCGACCTGACGTCAGCAAGCGATTGGAATCATTATCTAGAGAGTGCAATTCTGAGCTCATTACTGCATTTTTTCTCAGTAAAATGAATGCGTTTTTTTTGCGAGTCACACAGTGAAAATGAAAAACATATATGCCATCTATGGGGGCCGTAAAAATTCCATTGCAGGGATCCATTGCCTCGCCTACGTTCACTTCGGTTCCGTCGAAGTGGAGCACGCTGTCCTCACTTCCCGACGTTCCAAAGGCGTTGAAATAAACGACCTTTTCCTGGAAGGCTGGCACTTTTTCTCCACCTCCTCAACTCCGGGTCCGTCTCCTCTAAGTCCATACTACACATGACAACATCCAGACGTCCTTCGTTGGTGCTGACCAGGTAATAACCGGTATGAAAGCTTCCCTCTTGACGAAGAATTGAACAGGATTCTGCTGGATTGTCTAATGGCGGAGCTTTACCACTGCAATCCATTCCGCCTAGAGTGTAGTTCGCCTACTCGCCCTCAAACCGTAACCCATCAAAATCGCAAGTCAGTAATGATTGCTCAGACATCTGATTCCCATTGGGGAGCCTCCGCATCGCAGTTGCACGGCAGAATGGGGTCGATGCAGTCGCCGGTGTGGCCACAGTTGCATAGGTGTTCCTCAGGGTGTGAACCATCCCAGTAATATTGAGAGGATTTTCGTCATGACGGCCCATCCACTAAGAGTAAAGTGTATTGTTTCCCAACGAATCGTAACGAGTTTATTTCTTAATAACTCTTTTAATTCTGCACCGATTCTAATTGCGTTCAGAACTTTTGTAGAGCGTTTCGAGAGAATTTAATTCACACTTCGTTGAACTTCGTTCAAACAGATAAAAGAGAAAGGAATTACGAAGGTTTCCGTGAGGTACCCTTTTCATCGAAAAATATTGTATGATCTGCGACAAACACCATTTGTTCAACTCATAAAGTCAGCAAGAAAGAGAAACGCGCATTCTTTCCCGGATCGGCAATCCTAGAATTGCCCTTGAAGGCCAAGGTCAGATTCATCAGCGGACTCAGAATAGACTAATGAAGTGACTCACGAAGAACGAATTTTTGGCACGTCAAATCGCGTCGATTCAAGCCACCGTGCAATCGAAAACGCAATTTTAAAAAACCTTGCCGATCGATCATCGCCGATCGACTTGGGCATCTCCCATCGCCAAATTCCGCCTGGAATCTCCGTTGTTCGCTCTTTTCCAAACGTATTCTATATATCTTAACTCAGAGAGACGGTACACGCAATTAGCACGCATTAACTCACCCAATCAGGTGACTGAAAAATGCTCACGTTTTTTAGTCACCTGTCTCACGATGAGACAGTCGTCGAGACGTTTGAGTGCAAACGGCCATCGTGAGACAGTCGTTCTGAAACGGGACACAGTCATTGCTTAGTCATAAAAGTAGGTACTATTTAAGGTGGGATGAGACAATAAAATCTACAGTCTGACGTTAGGAATCTCGTTTATAGTTCCTGGCAGTTCTGGACAATAGAAGGAAGATTGAGGAGGGCCATGCAATTTTTTTTAAAGAGACAAGCAGAGAGTATTACGTAAATTATGTATTCGTTCATGCGGTAGGTGCCAATTAACCCATTGAGCAGTATGGCCGTACCGGTACGACCTCCGAATTCAAATTGCCACATTTGTACAGATGCCGTCAGTTTGAGCTTAAATCTGGAGGTTCCTGAATATGTCACGCCATATGCAGTACTGCCATCTTGAAGGTAGTGCCGAAAGCAACAGAGAAATAATGAAATACTAACTTTGGGGCGGTTCGTGAGAGAGGGTTTGCGGCGTTCCTCTCTCACAGACAACAATTATTTATTTCGTATTTATATTATTTTATGAATACCGTCTCGGAACCTTTCTTCGACTTCGTGTTATTTCATAGCTGGGGGCAGGAGGTGGGGCAGGGGGGGGGGGCAAGGTGGGGGAGCTGTTTCTTCTGCATAGACATTCCCATGGTTACTAAAATTTTCTGCTGTAGAGAAGTGAAAATCATGATACGTATGGAATTCAATGTATAGAATAAAACTTGAATTTTAGGAATGTAATTTAAGAATAAGGTAATTTACTTTCATTTGAAGATGTAATAAGATGCCACTTCACACATTGGAGGAAAGAATCTGGTTGGGGAAAGCTACTTCCGTTTACTTTTTGTTTTTCTATTTCTCAGTAAAAACAATTATCAAAAATATAAATTAATTTTCATGTCATAATTCTATTATTTCATTATTGTTTTATAATAATAATACCACACCCTGAAGCACTACTGATAACCCAAGATTACAAATGTTGAATTAAAGTTATTTCGACATACTTCCGAGGTAAAAACTTTATGTTCATAAAAGTAATAAATTTTGAGCTGGAGCCCATTCGCAAAAACAAAAACCCTGCGGTCCCAGAAAAAACCTTACCGCTCAATGGGTTAAAAGCTCATTTCAATCCCTGTCTCAATGGTCAGGACCTTCCCACATACAAGTCAATGCCCATGAAGCACGCCTTTCTGAATCTAAAGGAAACTTGAACCAACGGAACCCATTTCTGCTCCTGTTAGAGGACTTTGGGACAGAACACCCTGGCATCTCAATGCAAAGTAGGAGGAACGAGACCCTCAGTATGGAATAAAGATGGCTTTATCACAGCCTATCATTATGCCTATGAGTCGTCCTCACCTGAAAGCTAAAGCGTATTCGATTTGCCTTGAGCGGAGCGTCTCTGCGGTGCACTTTCTTGGCATGGTTGGGACCGAGTAGGTCCAAGAAGCGATGTCAGATGGCAGAACCCTCTTTCTTCCTGGCTCACCCCTCTCCTCTCCACCACCCCATTTATATGTGTAACAACGTAGTTTGCCCCTTGACTCCCGGAACACCACGACGAACGAGAGACCCTCCACTGAATTCATCCCGTCTTAAGAACCGTCCGAAATTCGTAAGTGGTGAAAAACGCCCGAAATAAATCCTTTGCAATAAAATATGGCAAGCGTCGTTCGGAACCCTGTGTCTTTTACAGGAACCAGATTTTCCCTGGAACCTTGGCTGAGCGAAGAGTCCACACAGACTACAGAAATTCTTAAAAGATTCAAGATGCGCAAAAGCTGTTCAAGATTAAAATTAAAATTAAAGTGAGAAAAATTTTTTAATTTTTAAATTGAATTTTTCTTTTAAAAAATTATTTTTTTTGTTCTTGGATTCGACTCGATGAAAAAAAAGCAATGTAATGAGTAGTAATGGGAAAACCAATTTTCAATGACTTTCCCTTTCTTCAACCCACTTTTCTCTATGGGAATCATTAGCGTTAGGCCTAACCAACTGGCTGCCTTCAGGTCACCCTGAAGCCTACCTTTTTTTCTTTTAAAAGAAACTCAAATCAAGACTTACGGGGCCAATTAGGTCTTTAGGGATGAATCCTTGAGCTTCGAGACATCTCATTGAGGACGTGTAACGTTAGGCCAATCGCAGACCTATTCATACTTTCACAAACTATTTCAAAGAGGACGTGTAACGTTAGACCGATTCGAGGCCTGTTTCGCGTTTCATGAACCATTACAATGAGGACGTGGAACGTTACAGGTAGGCATTGGTCCAATTGTGCTACGAGGTTCTGGTTTCTTGCTGCATAGAAACGTTTAGGGTGATGGCGAAACCACTGTACGACTGCCGCCTTCATCTCGTTATGTGAGTTGAACTGCCAACCATAAAGAGCCTCTTGAATGGCCGCAATACATTCACCACCAATCGAGCAGGTTCTGAAGCTTATATGGAGATTGGGCCAAAAGTATGGCATCATCATCACCTCGATACCACCGATGCTGACACGCTGGGGCACAGGCTACGCCTAAAGATCTTATCCATGTTCACGAGGAACTGGAAAGTAGAGAGAAGATCCAATACGTCCCAGGAACTCGTTCCGTTCACCCAAATACAAATTGAGCAGTAACTATTTAAGAATTATGTATCGCAGTAGCAGAACGTTAGTCCTATACTCCTGCACCACTCACAGCTTCCCTCGAAGTCGATAGTCAGACGTCTTTTCGAGGTCCACAAAGTCACAGTAAATAATGCTGAAAATTTATATTCAATCTGTTGTCAGTGATCACTGTCTCACGTTTACTTGTCATTTTGACAATAGCTGGCTTCTCTCTCGGTCCAAGTCCCACGAATAGTTCGACATTGTACTACTTAGCTTATCCAGTCTGAGTTATAGATACTTGCGAGGGAGGGAGTGATATATCAATGAGCAATAGCAATAGAAAAATTTAGGGGCATTTCTAATCAGCTGCAGCATGGAAAGTAATAAGGGCTCTCTCAAAACTCTATTTTATGCACTCTGAGACAATTGTATGATGAAATGCAAAGACGCGTTGATATGTTCATACGAAGTGTTCGGTGGATGAAGTAGATATCCCACTGATAACTGGAACTGTTGTACTTTTCGTTGGGGCTTGATGGACCTGAAATGGAAAGGGAGAGAAGGATTGACTCATCCAGCATCTCCTGGTTCGAGCGAAACCAGCAGAATGGAATAAGAATGGTTGGACTGAGTGACTATGAAAGAACCTCGTTCGTAGCTGGAGGGTGAGCCTCATCCCAATTCTTCTCAGGACTTCAACAACTTCAAGAACTTGGATATCTTGAGAAATAATGCAAGAACGGTGTAGTGAAAAGGTCTCAGAATACTTTACAGAAAGAAACTTATTTCTCGCAATTCACCTTGCCTTCCGGCTGCTCCTCCTCTGGAGTTTCCCATCTCAACTCATAGGAGACGGGGGTCGAATAGGAGACGGGGGTCGAATGCATCTGTTTGAAATTCATTGTTACTTTTTTGAACATCGTCAACATGCTTTCATGCGTTTTCTTTTATGGTTTGATATTTTCTTACCTGTCTGCCACCAGGTGACCATGATTCACTCGCTTCGGTCTGTTATAGTAATGGTGTGGAATCATTAGACATTTGTGCCATAATATGCAGATTAATAGAAGCAATGGAGAAGGAAGGGGATGAAGACAAAAAATAAACTAATTTCCTCCAAGAATTGTAGGCATTATTGGAAGTTGCCAGAATGATTATTTATTTATGTAGGACGAAGAATTGGAAGGGTTTGGATGTGCCAGGCCAGCAATGCCATGCTCAAGAAGCATCCAATACTGCAGCTGTAAACGTTTTTCCTGGCACATTCTGCTGCTGGGCATGCTACATGCTACGATCAACTTTGAGACAAAAATAAAAGTGCCGTAAATATTGCATGCTATGAGCATAAACAAAGAAATACAGGATGAGCCAATAAAGCCTGGACAGTTTTCTACGATACTCTACATTTCACTCACTGCATATATTTTAACTAGCGAGTTTGTTTGCCCGAAGGGAAAACAAACTCGCTATGGTCGCGCCTTCGGCGCTCCATTACCTTGAATAGTGATTAATTCATTAATTCTTTGCGAAATGGGAAACACGTATTTAAAGTACGTCCCCATTGAAATACGTGACATATGGGGACAAAAGTCTACATTTTTATCAAAATCATTACTACTATTATTTCTGGTGTGCCTAAGTTGAAATCTTTTCATGTGTCCCTTTTGGTAAGGGTGGAGAATACATTTTCCAATACTTCCCTCCAATCTTCTACGCTAATACAGCATATTTCAAAAGTAAGATTTTTCCTGTACTTAGCCATCAAATAGGTACTTCTGAGGGAATTTTACATTTTCTGTTTCTGTTTCGTTGGATCGAAAAATAATTCACGAAAATGGAACTTTAAAAAAAGTGTCCTGATGGGTTTTAACGAAAAATTTTTTTCTTCTGAAATGTAAACTCGGGAAATTCCATGCCACCCAGTTTCAGCCTTATACGTTTCCCCTTTTTGCTGGCAGTAAAAAATATATTAGGAAAAGCAACCCACCCAAAAGCTGTGCTCTGAGGAGACGCAAAAAAAAAGTTGAATTTTTCCTTAAATCAATATCACGTGCGTTATGCGTGCGCCAGCTGCTATTTTTCTATTTCTGCCCGATTCCCTAGGATATTAAAAATTCTTTGAAAACATAACGTCACCAGGAAATACCTCCCCCAAAAATTCCAATATGTTGGAAATTTGACATTTTTCCTGAGCTCAGTGTGTCAGCAGTCACGTTCTTGCCAGGTATCAGCTTTCTGTCTCCGTTTGATTGAAGCAAAGAGAACTATTTGAAAATATGTTCCCCGAAAAGGTGTGCCCTATGGCATGTATCACCAAAGTAGAATTTTTCCTGAACTCAGCAAGCAAATAGCGACTTATGTCACTCAGTGAGCTACTCACGATCCTCTACATATAATACTAGCCTTTGTCGCGCCTTTTGCGCTGCATTACCTTGGATAGTTATGAATTCATTTTTTCTTTGCGAAATGGCAAACACGTATTTAAAGTACGTGAAGAGATCCTGTCTCGGCTCAGCTCAAATTTAACACGTTGGCTGCCATGCCATCCACACGTGGCTGACAGAGCCATAGCGTGTCGCAATCCTTGGTAGTCAAAGTGTTAAATCGTGCCAAAGACACCAGCTGAAAGGAAAAGGGATACTTGAGCGTGGAGGAGCCAACAAATGAGGAATCTAGATAGAATTGCAGCCAAAGAAGCATGAAGGCATCGAGGTTTTGATAGCGGAAGGATGAAACCTTTTTGGCAAGGTGCAGGAATATGTAAGAACAATATGAGGAAAATGAAATTGTGAGGGCAATGAAAACCGTAAACAACACGCCTGGTAAGTATACATTAATACACGTAATGGGTATTTGAATAATGACAAATGAAAAGTTAATGATACTTTGTGACTTTGCGACTGACACATCTCCCTATTATGCTACCTTAAGCCTGGCCTATTCAAATACATGAGACAGAGACGAATGGGACTATGCCTAGTTACAGGTATATCTGTAGAAGATATCGCTCATGATTGCGTCAATTTACTTCTTGTAATTCGATTGTAATCAGTAAAAAAGCAAGCCGTGCAAAAGCAAATTTTTGATTCAAATGAGCAGATTCAGAAAGTGACGCTTAGGGTCATCCACATTTTCTGGGGAATGAATAATTTAAAATTATTGTCAATCAATCATGCGGCATAGAGACCTATCGTCTAATTACAGAGTTTTGGTTACCCGGTCTTGAGAGGACGGCAAGGGATGTAGGACGACTGACGTCACTGGTGACGTCACCAGCAGTTTTAAAACGCGTGAAGAAGACGTCTAAGACGTGGAGGGACTCTTCCAGCCGTTCTCTCAGGAACGTGGATCCGACGCAAGATCCACCAATCAGGAAGGTTTTAATTGGCGCGTGAGCTTCGGTACAACGCGTGATTCGTTCAAGTCAGTCATCCAGGAAGGAAATCTACTATTGATGACGAAGCAGCTGAAGTTCAAGGCACAGTATGCCAGGGTTGGATTTCTAGACAATTATTTCGCGCCTGTAGCAAGGGTTTCCCAACAGGTAGAAATGTACGTTTTGCTCGAGATGTGTTTCTGGACTCACATCCACAACTTGGGTTTTAGCCAAATATCTCCCATGAAAGCAACTGACTTCGCCATCAGAGAAGTAGGATGACACCCAGACATGAACTTCGGTTAATTTTGCCATGAGAGACGGACAGAAAGGAAGCATAATGTTATTGGGGATGGTGAATGATGGGAAAATAGGACAAAGGAACTCTGGTTGTAGCCAAAGGATTGCAATGTCTACATGCGACCATGATAAACAGACAAAAGAATCAAGAACGTTAGTCCAATAGGCAAACCGTCATTCATTCCTAGTGTGAAAACCTTTCTTAAGGAAAGACATTTTAATTGCAGTAGATCAAACCAAGGGGCAAATGCATAACATTTGACTATCTGGGGAATTGTGAGTTTTCCAGGTTGTACCTTAGCTTATCACTGAGTCGACCATACCCTTAAATCAGGTGTCGTTAGCACACCATCTGCGGTGAGATCCGTGGATGTTACTCTCCGTTCCAGATCTGGAATGCGTAGCCAAACTGCCATTCCAACTTTAGGCTCTTTATCTTGGAATAGGCTAATGCAAAAAACGCATTCTGAATTTTGAGATAAATGATCAGACCGTCAAAACGTGAGCTAATATAGCTTGTAAATAAGTTTTTCCAAAATTTTCTTGATGTGATTCTGTCGTGCAAGTCATGTTTTTTTTCTTAGATCACAACACTCACACAGGTGTTGTGAATAACATATCTTAATCATAGCCTCAGTGTTAATGGTACACCTATCATGTAAGGTGAGAATACCATCAGGGTTTTCTTGAATTAAGAGGTGAGTATGGGGTAAAAGATACCTTGTAGAAAACAAAAGGTGAATCGTGAGAGAAAAGTCAACGTAAAATGCAGGTAGAACACAAGTAAAAGGACAGGATTGTAAAACTGAGGTAAGTCATGGGTAAAAGAGCTGTAAATGAGATGGTAATGGTAAAAAAAAAGAGAAAATTCCTTTTTTGTTTTAACTTAGAAAAAAAAATTGTAAGGTTAGTTACGATTGAATCACCCTGTAATCAATGTTCCACCAAAAGGCAAGAGATATGAACCTACCCATAGACTGGGATCTGCACTTGTTTGAAACGATGATCTCCTCTTCAATTCCTTTCCCCTAACCTGAGAGACGAGAAAAATTGTCTTCCCCTTTTATGGTTAAGAGGAGGAAACGAGAGGACGACGATCAGGCAATTTGGTGAGACTCACTTTCTTTGGATGCGTTCGGCATATGACCTCGGCTTGTCTTTGTGCCTCTTTTAGGACCTGAAGCCTCTCTTTCTTGCCAGGTCGTTTTCCTTGCAATTCTGCCTCAATAAGCAGCTGGATGTAATCTGCCACGTTCATGACAGAGGGTTTCATGCTGCTCTCGCTGATGCTAAGTAATGTATCGTTCAAATCCTTCAAAATTATCGTCAATGTGACCCTGGCCTCGCGGAGATTTCCTTGTACTTTCACATGTGAACTCCTACGCCCCTTTAACCTCTTCAGCCAAAGCAAATCTATAGATATACAAAAAGCAAGGAGCACATCATGTTCACAAGCTATTGAATACGTTATTGCGAAATTACGGAGACCCTTACTATTTTCAAGTTTAAGCTTGAGTTCGGCGACTTTCGTCATTTCTCGACATTTGTCGTCAATGGCATCTTGTTCCGGCATGACTCGAATCATTAATGCCAGACTGAAGGGTTTAATTGCAGAGAGGCTGATGCATAATTTTCGGAATCCTCGCGCTCCCATGTCCCAATCGAGTTTGGCGAAGCTGCTGTACTTTTTGCTTTTATACAGCGAATACACAGCAGAATTGTTCACCTGGTAATATTCTTTGTATGCGATTTTAGCAGCTTTGAAGGCCTCTAAGGCCAGCGGTTCATTGCAATCCGAGAAGGTGAAGATGACGTAGAAGTTACCGGTGACATCATTCCCGAACATCTTCAGGCAGGAACGAAGGGTGGATTTTTCAGCAGTGGTTAGCCACTTCGTGGCAGCCGGGACGACGAACCCGACTCCACATAACTCTTTCATACCGGTGACCTTGAAAAAGGTCCAAATATGCTGGGGTATGGCGTAGGAATCTTTGCCTTCCATATACATAAAACCAGGTGTATCCACGATAGTGAAGATCCCGTACTCTGGACTCTTGATCGTGTATCCAGTGACCCATTGTGTTTTACTTGAATAGTCTCTAGAACTAAAACTTTCCCCGCTTAGTGTGGATGTCATGTCCATCTCGTATCGACTACCATCGTTCCATTTCACCCCTAGCAGGAAATTCACGAGCCACTTCACCATCGTACTCTTTCCTGCTTGGAAAAGCTCGTGCTGAAAGGTCCAATGCAATTACGTGCTTATTCAATACCAAAGAGTCTTCTAACTGACCTGATCCACTAGCTCCTATCAGGAGCAGGACCCGACCGAAACCATCTTGAGGTCCACAGGAGTCGTTCAAAGCATATAGGGCCACTTTATGCTCATCATCTCGAAAAATTTCCTGCATGGAGACGATCATATTCCCCGGAAGCTTCGTCCCCATTCCCATCTTGGAAAGAGTTAGAAAGTTACCATTAAATTCTTTCTCTTAGAATACTATTGAAAATAGTGACGGGAATGCATGATACATTATGATCTTCATTTTTAAGGTAACTTCATTGCCTGCGGGTCATTCCAAAAGAACTCAACCAAGCACTTACCATCTAGGATTTCGTGATAAAAGTTTTCAGAGATTGCAAGCTTATAACTCCGTAATAAATGAATCGCCTCCTTCGGATCTGCGGCTACCGCGATATCGGCCTCCAAGTTTCTGGGGAAAGGGAAAACCCCATTGACGGCAAAATTTCCATCTCGGGAACTTCTCATCGTATGGAGGCTTGCCATAGTTTCAAAGAAAGTTCTTTACTAGCTGAATAAATCGGTTTACACATTATTGTAGTTCGAGCGAGATTTCAAGGCTATTGTTAAGTTTGAAAATGTTAAATTTAGACGATTTTACCCTCAAAAATCTTCATGTGGCGAGGAAAAGAAAAATTTGTCGTTACAGTAATTTACACTCCTCTTTTAGTTGCATCGAAAAAGCAAGTTACTTGTTTCACTTTATGTAAGCTACATAGAAAAAGATTAAACTAAAAATTGAAAATGTCTCATTTTTGTAATATGTCTAACGATGCATGAGTTTTTGTCTTTTACGAATATTATTTTTTTTTGCAAAAGTCGCATGTTCTAAAAATTCCTTTATCTTCAAGTGGATGCTTATAGTGCCATGATTCTTCTCAGAAAATTTTTTCAATGATCTACGCAATGATTTCGACTCTCACATTGGTCCAGCTGGTCGGTATGTTGATTTCCTTTGGAGTACACGTGTTGCTAACCAATTGACATCGCGACATCCTCTTTTCCGATGGAATGATGTTAAGGTTAAGCAGGCTCACAACCCTCAAAACAATCGTGTGTGGGGAAAAAATTTACGATGCATGCAGCCGCATCATCGCCTTGTCTATCGGACGCAAAACCAGCTGCTGTGATGGTTTGGGCAGGAATTAATGCAACTGACAAAAAACCTCTGCATTTTGTTGCCCCGCTGGTCAAAATCAACTCTTCCTATTATCGAGAAGAGGTCTTAGAGAAAGTCTTACTACCCTCGTCCCAAGAGCACTCCCATGACCGAAGCTTGGTCTTCCAGCAAGACTCAGCCCCAGCACACAAGGCGAAAAGCTGAATCGAAAGGCAAGCTTTGGTGGCTCAAACGTGATCTCAGGCGCGCATGGGATGAAATGACGGTCGAGCAGCTTCGAATTACAATGGATAATTTTCCAAAACAATTGAGGCAAGTTGTGGCTGCCAAGGGTGACTATTTTGAAAAGGAAATATTCATTTTGTAGGTTTTTCTTAATTCTCTTTCCATTGGTCGAATTGATTTTGCTCTTGCTCATCACTAAAAGAAATAACGTTATTTTTCCTTGTCCAAGGACTTATGAGTCATCCTGCAGAATGTGAGGAATGGTGGGGACATAGCTCTGAAAACCGCAAATCATTGTAAACATTCCCGAGTTGGGAGAAAATGCCTCGACAACGAAATTCTACTTCGCCGAAAACGAAGCGATAAACTATTTTACACTTCTGGAACAATGGCTATCGATATCCTGCCGAAATTGCTCGTCTGGCGAAGATCTCTCCGATCGGATTGTCGAGTACAATATTGCCAAGATCAAAGAACGAGGCACGGTGGACAACAGACGCCGTAGTGGCCGACCCTGCAAGATCACCGCCGCCGACGACAAGGCACTTGGTCAGTGGATTCGACGAAACCATGAGAAAACGGCGAAAGAACTGGTGCAAAAGTTGCTTCAGGACCGAGGTCGGCATGTGTCTCGATGGGCGGTACAACGCCACCTCAAACGGATGGGCTACAAAAATATTTTGCTCCACGCGACGCCAATGTTCACACAGAAGCACGACGATGTCCAGTGGACAATTCGGAACAAGCCCGACGATTGGAGTCCAACGGTATTCAACAACGAGACTTACCAATTATTGAGAAGCACGATTCGTCGATGGTCAAAGAACCCAAGAGGCGAGGTCGAGGAAAACCCCAAAAAACAGACCGAAGTTTGTGGTGTGGGGTGGCTTCGGTGTCATGGGCCTGGTCGGCTGTCATTCCTTCAAGAGAATTATGGATGGCCCGTACTACTTTCGAACTTGGTTAATGTAAGCAATGAAATATATTTCCTTTGAGCCCTCTCCATCCATTCCTTCCATTGAACTAGGGAATCATCGAAAACTGAAAAGTTGCTCGGAAAGGTGGAAAGACTCCCAAATCTATAACCACTTGAAAATGTGAATATCATGAGCAGCCACCGGAGCAAGACAACATGCAACTATAGTGAAATTAAACTCAACCGATGAGAACCTCAGGCAGTGGTGATGGTGGTATTTCATCTTTCGTCGGTATCTGACATATGGGTGTTGTCCCTCTCTCCCTTGGAGGGGTCTGTGGAGGCTGCTCTTGAGACTTCTTTTCCTAAAATCACGGACAGAGTCTCGCACATCTTCTACTTCAAGAAAAGATTCAACTTTACGAAGAGAATGGAAGAGATTAGACCTCTGATTTCCATGGCGTTCCCTTTTTGAGCTCTTCCTCAAGCATGTGAAGCTTCTTCTCTATCTGTTCACGGGCAGATTTCTCCCTCTTGAGACGATCTTCAAAGTCTTGGGCTTTTATCCCCTCGTCCAATCCATTCGCTAATGCATTCGACAACTTTTTCTGAAGTACTTCGACCTACAATAATGAGTATTCTTCAATTCCTGAATTGTGAAAAGAAAATTATTCGACTTGTCAAAGGAGAATGGGACAGCATCAAACACCTCCGATTTCCATCGAGCTCTGGTTTCGTTCAACTCCCTCTCGATCAAGCGATTTGTTCTCTGTGTCTCTTCACGCAGAGACTGCTCCTTCTCTAATAGTTTGCTCATAGCCTCATATTTGGCTTCCAACCCCTTCTCGGTAGCCAACANATTAATGCAACTGACAAAAAACCTCTGCATTTTGTTGCCCCGCTGGTCAAAATCAACTCTTCCTATTATCGAGAAGAGGTCTTAGAGAAAGTCTTACTACCCTCGTCCCAAGAGCACTCCCATGACCGAAGCTTGGTCTTCCAGCAAGACTCAGCCCCAGCACACAAGGCGAAAAGCTGAATCGAAAGGCAAGCTTTGGTGGCTCAAACGTGATCTCAGGCGCGCATGGGATGAAATGACGGTCGAGCAGCTTCGAATTACAATGGATAATTTTCCAAAACAATTGAGGCAAGTTGTGGCTGCCAAGGGTGACTATTTTGAAAAGGAAATATTCATTTTGTAGGTTTTTCTTAATTCTCTTTCCATTGGTCGAATTGATTTTGCTCTTGCTCATCACTAAAAGAAATAACGTTATTTTTCCTTGTCCAAGGACTTATGAGTCATCCTGCAGAATGTGAGGAATGGTGGGGACATAGCTCTGAAAACCGCAAATCATTGTAAACATTCCCGAGTTGGGAGAAAATGCCTCGACAACGAAATTCTACTTCGCCGAAAACGAAGCGATAAACTATTTTACACTTCTGGAACAATGGCTATCGATATCCTGCCGAAATTGCTCGTCTGGCGAAGATCTCTCCGATCGGATTGTCGAGTACAATATTGCCAAGATCAAAGAACGAGGCACGGTGGACAACAGACGCCGTAGTGGCCGACCCTGCAAGATCACCGCCGCCGACGACAAGGCACTTGGTCAGTGGATTCGACGAAACCATGAGAAAACGGCGAAAGAACTGGTGCAAAAGTTGCTTCAGGACCGAGGTCGGCATGTGTCTCGATGGGCGGTACAACGCCACCTCAAACGGATGGGCTACAAAAATATTTTGCTCCACGCGACGCCAATGTTCACACAGAAGCACGACGATGTCCAGTGGACAATTCGGAACAAGCCCGACGATTGGAGTCGAACGGTATTCACCAACGAGACCTACCAATTATTCAGAAGCACGATTCGTCGATGGTCAAAGAACCCAAGAGGCGAGGTAGAGGAAATCCCGAAAAACAGACGGAAGTTTGTGGTGTGGGGTGGCTTCGGTGTCATGGGCCTGGTCGGCTGTCATTCCTTCGAGAGAATTATGGATATCCCGTACTACTTTCGAACTTGGTTAATGTAAGTAATGAAATATATTTCCTTTGAGCCCTCTCCATCAATTCCTTCCATTGAACTAGGGAATCATCGAAAACTGAAAAGTTGCTCGGAAAGGTGGAAAGACTCCCAAATCTATAACCACTTGAAAATGTGAATATCATGAGCAGCCACCGGAGCAAGACAAAATGCAACTATAGTGAAATTAAACTCAACCGATGAGAACCTCAGGCAGTGGTGATGGTGGTATTTCATCTTTCGTCGGTATCTGACATATGGGTGTTGTCCCTCTCTCCCTTGGAGGGGTCTGTGGAGGCTGCTCTTGAGACTTCTTTTCCTAAAATCACGGACAGAGTCTCGCACATCTTCTACTTCAAGAAAAGATTCAACTTTACGAAGAGAATGGAAGAGATTAGACCTCTGATTTCCATGGCGTTCCCTTTTTGAGCTCTTCCTCAAGCATGTGAAGCTTCTTCTCTATCTGTTCACGGGCAGATTTCTCCCTCTTGAGACGATCTTCAAAGTCTTGGGCTTTTATCCCCTCGTCCAATCCATTCGCTAATGCATTCGACAACTTTTTCTGAAGTACTTCGACCTGCAATAATGAGTATTCTTCAATTCCTGAATTGTGAAAAGAAAATTATTCGACTTGTCAAAGGAGAATGGGACAGCATCAAACACCTCCGATTTCCATCGAGCTCTGGTTTCGTTCAACTCCCTCTCGATCAAGCGATTTGTTCTCTGTGTCTCTTCACGCAGAGACTGCTCCTTCTCTAATAGTTTGCTCATAGCCTCATATTTGGCTTCCAACCCCTTCTCGGTAGCCAACACCGCCGATGTTTCATCCATTCTTGCTTCCAGCGCCTTCTCATTCGCCGGCTGCATGAGAAGGCATAATGTAAGAGAATAACCATGAGAAAATTTAGTGTTAGTGAGAACTTATTCCACATTAATTGTGCTTTGTGATATGAACAGTAATTCGCTTATTATGCATTTTAAATCACATGGTCCTTCAAGACTGACCACATACATGCTTAAGACAAACAAATTGAAGCGAAAAATGATACAGAACATGTCGTTTTCCATTAAAATGGAAGTTAGGCAAATATGCTCCTTTTTCTTTCATAGCACCTGTAATTGATGCTGCTTCTAATTCCATTAGGTACCAAATAAATAAATGTGAACATTTTCGCGCTATATACTCAGGGATTTGGGGTAACAGTGCTTAAACACAAACTTACATACTGATTGATATGTGACAAAGTACAATTTTGTGGGGTAGTCGATGGATTTATTCGTATGTGCTACATGTTGAATCTTTATTTGATGGGCCGTCTGCCTACCTCCCTCCTGCTTGAAATTTATCAATATGGATACTATCGAATATTTACTGTGTGTTTTCATCAATAATTTATTTCCATACTTACACATCACAATAGCAACTGGCGTCTGTTAATGAAGTGTTACCAAGTCTGGAAAGAAGAAAAGCGTAATTGCTGTCACCGTACAATCCAACTGGAAAACTTAATCACCTTGAGGTTTCATACTCTCCCTAATGTTTCCTCAGCCTCTTTGGGTTTTCATTAAAACCAAACTAACTAACCTTGCAGGAGTAACGATAAACAGAGTCAAAAAGAGCCGCTCTCAGGTGTTTGGGTCAAAAGAGTGAAAAATTCAACTAATTTTTCCAACCAATAAATTGATGAATAATCGCAGTCGATGGCCGCCACCCATACTTAACGCAACTGACCAATCATCTCCCAAAATACGTTGACTTTCTCGCTCTTTGGCATTTGACACCAAACCGATGCCAATGCTGTCTCCAGGACAGAACGGGATGAGGATTTTAAACATATAAAAACCAATTGTAACCTAACCTAACCAAACCTAACTTAACCCACAACGGTCCTCCATATTTTGATGAATGGCTGAGAATTTCTGTTTTCAAGAGAAGGTTACACAATGAAAGTAGACATGCAGGATTTTCCTGTTATGAAATGCGAGAGGCAGAGAAAAAAAATTGATAAAAACCAGGGAATGAAATTTCAAAAATTGCCATACTTATAAGTTTGCACAAGTAATGAAGTGCCAAAAATAGTATTAAAACCCTCCAGGAACAAAAAAAGTGCATGCAACATACGGAAGCAGGGCGCAAAGCTATACAAAATCAACACCACCCAAGCAGCATGTTTACGTAAACAAGGAATCGATTTTTTTTTTACAATGTAAATATCTTGAGAGCCATGAAAATATCATCACTTTTACGTAAAATTTACGTTCCTATATTTACGTCACCAAAGTATACGTGTATTTTACATAAACTAGACGTCACTCCAACTGACGTGAAGTAAATGATATCAAGTTTATGCAAAATTAACATCACACTTTCCAAATGAAACTTTAGCTGACCATCCTGCAGTTGCAATACCGAGATTCATCACTAGATGTAACCCTTGTTCCCTGCACCCTACAAATGCTATTAAGTACTGGCTTTCCCGATATGGTATCAGGTTTTCTTACCATCCTTCCAATTTTTATTATGCGATCCAGGAATACATATATGGAAAAATGAAACCTTTTACATATTTTAAATATTATATGACTCAGGGAATCATTAAATGCTGAAGCTAAGCTTGTTATTACAACTGTGCATGGGAAGAGTAGAATCCCAGCTCCATAAGTACTATATCATCTCTATCTTAATGTTAGAGAGCTCCTCTTAACATCTATTCCTCCTCCCGATGTCCCAGTATAGGAGGAGGAACTAGTGAGTCATCTAGGAACTCTGGTGGTAGTGCAGGTGAGGATATGTACTTGTGTACTCGTCCAAGTAACCTTGAGTTGCAAAGTATGGAAAGGAATGGGAGAAATACAGAGTATCAATTCTCTTCAAAAGTACGAATTGGCTCGTTAAATATGCATGAATGTTAGGGGATAACATCAATTTTATGTAAAGTGAATGTGAACATGCTGTTGGGGATATAAATGGGAATGTCAATTTTACATAAAATTTAATATTTTATATCATCGTTTACGTATTACAGAGGTGACACTTCTGCAAACATGTTGACGTTATCCCGAATAGCATGTTTATGTTAATTTTACGTAAACTGAAGGTAAATTTTTTGTCCATTTTATGTCATTTTTCACAAATGGCAAGATAATGCCTACACGCTTGCATACATGTCACCTCAGTGATACGTAAACGGTAATATAANATTAGGTACCAAATAAATAAATGTGAACATTTTCGCGCTATATACTCAGGGATTTGGGGTAACAGTGCTTAAACACAAACTTACATACTGATTGATATGTGACAAAGTACAATTTTGTGGGGTAGTCAATGGATTTATTCGTATGTGCTATATGTTGAATCTTTATTTGATGGGCCGTCTGCTTACCTCCCTCCTGCTTGAAATTTATCAATATGGATACTATCGAATATTTACTGCGTGTTTTCATCAATAATTTATTTCCATACTTACACATCACAATAGCAACTGGCGTCTGTTAATGAAGTGTTACCAAGTCTGGAAAGAAGAAAAGCGTAATTGCTGTCACCGTACAATCCGACTGGAAAACTTAATCACCTTGAGGTTTCATACTCTCCCTAATGTTTCCTCAGCTTCTTTGGGTTTTCATTAAAACCAAACTAACTAACCTCGCAGGAGTAACGATAAACAGAGTCAAAAAGAGCCGCTCTCAGGTGTTTGGGTCAAAAGAGTGAAAAATTCAACTAATTTTTTAAACCAATAAATTGATGAATAATCGCAGTCGATGGCCGCCACCCATACTTAACGCAACTGACCAATCATCTCCCAAAATACGTTGACATTCTCGCTCTTTGGCATTTGACACCAAACCGATGCCAATGCTGTCTCCAGGACAGAACGGGATGAGGATTTTAAACTATTAAAAACCAATTGTAACCTAACCTAACCAAACCTAACTTAACCCACAACGGTCCTCCATATTTTGATGAATGGCTGAGAATTTCTGTTTTCAAGAGAAGGTTACACAATGAAAGTAGACATGCAGGATTTTCCTGTTATGAAATGCGAGAGGCAGAGAAAAAAAATTGATAAAAACCAGGGAATGAAATTTCGAAAATTTCCATACTTATAAGTTTGCACAAGTAATGAAGTGCCAAAAATAGTATTAAAACCCTCAAGGAACAAAAAAAGTGCATGCAACATACAGAAGCAGGGCGCAAAGCTATACAAAATCAACACCACCCAAGCAGCATGTTTACGTAAACAAGGAATCGATTTTTTTTTTACAATGTAAATATCTTGAGAGCCATGAAAATATCATCACTTTTACGTAAAATTTGCGTTCCTATGTTTACGTCACCAAAGTATACGTGTATTTTACATAAACTAGACGTCACTCCAACTGACGCGAAGTAAATGATATCAAGTTTATGCAAAATTAACATCACACTTTCCAAATGAAACTTTAGCTGACCATCCTGCAGTTGCAATACCGAGATTCATCACTAGATGTAACCCTTGTTCCCTGCACCCTACAAATGCTATTAAGTACTGGCTTTCCCAATATGGTATCAGGTTTTCTTACCATACTTCCAATTTTTATTATGCGATCCTTGAATACATATATGGAAAAACGAAACCTTTTACATATTTTAAATATTATATGACTCAGGGAATCATTAAATGCTGAAGCTAAGCTTGTTATTACAACTGTGCATGGGAAGAGTAGAATCCCAGCTCCATAAGTACTATATCATCTCTATCTTAATGGTAGAGAGCTCCTCTTAACATCTATTCCTCCTCCCGATGTCCCAGTATAGGAGGAGAACTAGTGAGTCATCTAGGAACTCTGGTGGTAGTGCAGGTGAGGATATGTACTTGTGTACTCGTCCAAGTAACCTTGAGTTGCAAAGTATGGAAAGGAATGGGAGAAATACAGAGTATCAATTCTCTTCAAAAGTACGAATTGGCTCGTTAAATATGCATGAATGTTAGGGGATAACATCAATTTTATGTAAAGTGAATGTGAACATGCTGTTGGGGATATAAATGGGAATGTCAATTTTACAGAAAATTTAATATTTTATATCATCGTTTACGTATTACAGAGGTGACACTTCTGCAAACATGTTGACGTTATCCCGAATAGCATGTTTATGTTAATTTTACGTAAACTGAATGTAAATTTTTTGTCCATTTTATGTCATTTTTCACAAATGGCAAGATAATGCCTACACGCTTGCATACATGTCACCTCTGTGATACGTAAACGGTAATATAAAATTAACGTCAATTTTATGTAAAATTGACATGCCCGTTTGCGTTCCTAACAATAATTTTACGTTGATCATACGTAAGATTTATGTTAATTTCCCCCTAGCATTCATGTGTCTTTACAAGTCAATCACCGCCTTTGAAAATATTTGATATTCTGTATCTCCCATTCCTTTCCGTACTTCAGAACTCAAGGGTTGTTGGATGAGTACACTCATCTTTATCAGTACCCAAGAGTACCGAAATTACCTACCACTTCCTCCTCTCGTACTGGAACCTCGGGAAGAGAAGCAGATGTTCAAGGATCTCTCTCCCGTTTAGGACAGCGAAGATTTTGTACTTGTTGAGCTGGGATTCTACTCTTTCCTTATCCCTTGCACTGCTCTAATAAAAAGCTTCACTTCAACATTTAATGATTCCCTAAGGCATATATTATAAATAATATAATAATTTCATGATTTCCATATATATATTCATGGATTGCATAATAAAAAGTGGAAGGATGGTAAGAAAATCTAATGTTCTATCAGGAAAGCCAGTACTAAATAGTATTTGTTGGATGCAGGGAACAAGGGTTACATCTAGTGAGGAATCTTGGTACT